CTGACAAGATCAATCATACATGTTCAAAGTCATTGGGTGCATTGGCGTGATGTCGTGGAGATGGGGTTGTTGCGACAGCTCGGAACGTACAACGATGTGCTGCTAACTGTGTAGGCTATCTTCCGTAACGCTGCTACAGGCCCTACCCACCCATCGCGCGATCGCTATACCATTCGTCAACGACAACCTTGGTCGCATGACTACAGACGATGACAAATGATACAAAACCGCATAAGGCCTATCGATACCTGACTAGTCAGGGTCTACAGGATCGAGCTCTCGAACACCACCTATTCTGGCATGTCATGAGCACGCGACACGTCACGATAGCATAAGAAGAAGGCTTGGGTTTCAACGTATTGCACTACACCCTGGGTATCTGCTATCATTCCTTCATAACTTCGTAAGGCCAATTGACATGTATCGAGCTGCCGCTCGAACACATGATGCTACTATGACCTCTATATCCTACATGTAATCGCTATCCTCTTGCCGTGAACTCATGTACCCATGTCCTCCTTCTGCTGTCCTGTTTTCATTCTATCGTTTCCATGGTGGTGGATAGAACGACGAGTAGGGACTCCGACCATCCCACCCTACAGGCGGCTGGCTCCATGGATCATCGCCTTGATCGGGACGCTGTCCTGGGCTATTGACCTGACCTCCTGGTTGGGTATCTGGCAGTCCATGCAGAACGACCGACTCTCCTGGCTGTGCGTCTTGTAGAGCGTCGTACTGACTGGAGTTATCTCGTCCTGGCTGCGTGGCTGGCAGATCTTCGTCTTGATTAACGTGAACTCCTAGTTCCGTGGCTGGCGGCTCATTCTGACTAAGAGGCTCTCTCGGTTGCATGGCTGGTGAACCACCCTGACTAAGCCGCTCTCCTGGTTGGAAGTCTCTCAGTTCTCCATCTTCTTCCTCTTCTTCCTCACTATCCTTGCATTCTCCCGTCATCCTCCAATTCGGACCAGAAACGTTAGATCCAAACGACTCATCCACACGCTGTGGCTGGGCTGACGGCGGCGGCGATTGCTCAGAATCCACCACACCCATTGCCGGTGGCGGAGGATCTGAGCGCGCAGGATCAACCCTGAAACTCACGTTGGCGAGATCCGAAATGGAGATATCGTTGCGACGGTGAGCTCCAGACTCGGCACGGAGGGTAGCCAGGAAAGCTGGTCGAGCGAAAGGAGGACTGCTCTGCTTGGGCGCCGATTGGAACATGGGAAAGGACTGCGACACTGCCTGTGCATTGCTCATACCTCGCATTGCCGTCATCGCGTTGAAGCCGGCTGTAAACGCGCTCTTGTCTTTGAGCTTGGGTGCCGGCGAGTCCTTCTGTTTCGCCTTGTCACTGGCAACCGGCGTCGCTCCACCACCATCTTCATCACCTGACTCGTCTCCTTCAGCATCCAGTCCATCACCCTGCTGACGGAAGGTGTGGTGGAAATTGAGACCGAAGATACCGGAATCTCGAGGCGCATCGTCTTCCTCCGCATGCTTCAGCCACTCTTCTGCTTGCTTGTAGTCGTCGTCGAGGTTGATGTCCTCGTTGGATACAACAGTGAATGTTCCCTGTTCAATTGCGGAGACAGCAGGCGGGCTGGAAAGGACGTTGGTGTTTACTCCGTTGTTTCGTGTGAAGAATGACGTGTCTGGCACGTGTGAGATTTGAGGGAGCGGTTCATCAGATGAGAATTGGCGTTCCAGGTTGGCAATGGTTTTGTCCAGATCACGGTCCGTCAACGAGATTGTAGGCCGGGGCTGCTCTGCTGGTGGTGCATGGGGCTGATGGGAGTCTTGGATACCGGGAAGAAGATGTGGACGCTTCGCGGCCTGTATGGCTGTGCCCGATACTTCGTTGTCTGCATCGCGTTTACCTAGAGGTCGAGCCCTAGCACGAGCACGCTTGCGAGTCTCCAGCGTCTGAGAGAGGCGAGCACGATCAACATACGGCGACAAAATTTGAAGCGACTTCACCGATTGCGATGCCGACTTTTTCAACTGACCCTTCGCAGGCAGAATAGGCCGCTTGTCCACTTCCATTGCCTCATCGATTTCCCTTCCAGTCTTGAAGCTTGACCAGTGACCAGAGCGCTCATAGGACTCACTACCGTGTGGCATCGTGGGCAACATCTTCATACCGCCGAAATAAGTAGATAGAAATGCACCAGCACTCTCGTAGTCGTGGACAATCGCGGGTGCATGGAAGTTGAACTGGGCGCCCTTGCGAGTGACAGATGCCCAGGGAAGAAGACCAGTGTGAGCAAGGACGACGCGCTGTATGACCCGGCTGAAGTCTGCTGGATCATACGGAGGGAAGTCTTGCGTTTGACGGTAGTCCTCGGCTATCAGTCCTAGTTGCTTTGCAAAGTCCGACAACAAGGACAGGGTAATGTAATGACCCTCTAGCTTGGGCTCTCCGCGTACCTCTACCCAGTCATGACAATCTGTGTCGCCCTCATTGATGCAGGCGACAAGGCGGCCAGGAGTTGCCAGGCGATGTAGTTGGGTCAGATTGAACATTCGTGAGGGCAGGTGATACCAGACCTTGTGCACCTCTTCGATGTTTGTAGTAGGCTGGGTCTTGATCTCACTAGTCAAACGCGCGAACGTGGCGTGTAGTACCTCCGGCATGGTACCTAGACCCACAAGAGCACCTCGAAGCTTCTTAATATCTGCAAACACAATTACTCCGTGCTGGGGTGCGACGAGGCGCTCGTATTCCTCAACAATCGCGTGACGCCACTCTGGGTAGGCTTCGCAACAGCTCGCTAGCCAGTGCAGGAAGCAACGCTCTTCGAAGCCACCTTCGACCTGTGTCAATGGCACTGTTCGCTTGACTCCGAAGGTCTGCCAGGGTTCTTCCACCTCGCCGGTAAGTTCTTGGATCTTGGTGCACACATCCCGCGGCGGCAGGTCCCATTGATTGTGGTAGAGTTTCGTGGCCAGGCCGTCTAGGTATGGATGCCCCAGAGTCAATATCATATGCTGCTCTTCGCCGATCTTTGGAAATGGATGCAGGAGCGACCAGTCATGCTGCATCTTTTTGATCATATCAGAGCGGCATAGCCCTACCTCACGGCGGGTCGCATTGTGAATCTGGGCGTTTCGAGCAGAATACCAGGCGTCTTGTTTGTTTTGCACCAAGTTGAGCATCTTCTTGCCCCTTTCAGACTCTCGCGACTCGCCTTTCGGTCCGAAGAAGTCGGCGACGACGCGCTCCATGAGAGCGGATTCTTGGCGAGCAACCTCGGTCTTCTTCGCCATGAAGGCTTCGCCGAAGGCATCTTTCGGTGGTGCCTTCCGCAGTTGCCAGATATCGCAGCAGCTCTCGACAATCTCCATCGCGGCGCGACCGTCCTCGATCATCTTCTCCAGAGGTTCAGGTATGCCAGCAGGAAACGACGTTGCCCTTGTATAGTCGACTAAGAGCACAGCTCCGGGCTTGTAGTTCCCTAGGCGGAGTAAGACACCCTCTTTGGTGACGTTTCCGTGAATGATCTTGTGGAAATGCAGGAAGGCGAGGGCTGAGAACAGTCGTCGCAGGAGTTTCGAAGCGATTGTGAAGCGCACGCGCGGATGTTGCTTCTTGATGTCCTCTTCGAGAGCCGCGTATGCCTTGAAGCCCTCATGCGTCTCGGTAATGACAGCGGGGATGTGGTTAATGTCGAGCGACTGCAAGTAACGAACGACAGATACATCGACTTTAGCCTTGCCGAACTTGAGAAACTCAGCATCCCGAAGTTCGCGGCGATTTCCCACATGGCGGAAGAATTTCGCTGTCTCGATCTTGCCTGTGAAGCGTTCGAGAACCCGGCAGGTGTTCGCGGACACTTGTTCAGAGAGCGGCAGATAGCGATTCCGTGCCCAAGCTTCGGGGCGATCAGTGACGTCTTGTAGCTGGGGATGCAGCTCTGAAGGCAAGAATGCATCCTTCGCGTAGAGTTCTCGTACTGCCTTTAACATGAAGATGTCGACTCGCAAGCCATTGACGAAGACGTGGTTGACTAAGTTCTGCCGCAGATAGATCGCTTGCGGAAACTGGTTTTGTGCATGCGGATCGCTGAACTGAATGGGCGCACCGTTAACCTCCGTGATAGTCTCAGAAGCGGACTGCAATCGCCAGCTGTTGTTCTTCCAAACCGGTACGATTCCGAACAGAAGCAGGTCGGCCCCATCGTCAGGGAGGTACACATCGCAAGCCGGAGGCTTCGGGCTCTCGAGGTTGGACAGGCCTATGGTGTAGCAGGGTTGACCTTGGACAAGATGAAGAAACACATGGCAGCCGTCTAAGGACCACTCGCCACCGGCTCGTGGAGACCTCAAACGCGACTTCCTATAGGCTGTGTTGTGGTTTGCGTAGAAAGCTTTGGGGTCGTGAACTGTAATGATTCCGACGACGCTATCTGGAGAGAGCCCGTCCGGGATAGGAGGATGGCGCGCGTCAATAGGCTCGTCTTCTTGCATATCTGACATGTTCGCAATTGGTGTATATAGCCAGAAAGGGCGCCAGGTGTGTGTGGCGGGGGACGGTTGGCGCACGGCTTATAAGGCACAGTGGTTGTCGTGTACGGTGTAGTGAAGCGCCAGAACTGAGTGCTGTAGCTCGTTGAGAGTCCGTTCAGCATTGCCCCTGCGTGCGGGGTCAGCACGAACGGCTACGCCCTCGGGGGAGTCTTCTGATCACCAGATAAAGCCTGCGTCAGGTTTGTTCGACTATACCACTCTGTGCATGCACCAGCGACAGTGACTCACGTCGAGAGTCCGCGGGATATTGCCTAAGTGAGCGGGGTCGGCACGACAACTCAACCCTCGAGTGAGCCTGCTGATCAACAGGCAGGCGTAGGTCGGACTTGTTACCCTATACCACACTGTACGTGCACCAGCGACAGTGACCCTTACCGACAGCGGATCGATCATGAGGTCTATCCCCTCAATGGCCGCGAACGGCCCTGAGCCATGACCAGGTATCTGAGAGCCCAGAACAACGACGTAATTCACCTCTGGAACTTAGTCCCAGCTGCAGTGAAATGGTCAAACCAGTCTCTCCTTTCCGGGAAGCCGTACAGGCCTAGCAGACTGGGTTTGCCTGGCTGGGCTTTGTTGTTGATTGTGATGATGTATCTAGTGATCAGTCAGCTCAGCAACGTCATGGACAGACACCAGACTTACACGACTGAGCCCCTTGCTATCTGGTCGAGCATGGTAGCCTTCTGAAACTGGTATGCGTCTGTGGGAAGGGACAGTTCCATGTCGGCGACCGCGATAGGTGGGTCCGTTATCAGAACCTCATCGCCTTTGCTCTTCTTAGCTTTACCCCATATGAAGTAGTTGTCGAGCAACATGGCGTGTACTGGAACCCAAGGTCCCTGGCTCTTGAACTTCATTGCCATACCGCCTTGGTGAATAACGCGACGGGCCGGCTCATGCAGGCGTAGTTGCGCAAACGTTAGTGCATCTGTGCGGATACGCCTCTGGAGATTCTGTACATCTTCACGAGCCTGAGCTTCATCTAGTAAGGTTGAGATGGATGTTTTCAGCCAAGTCACGGCCTGTAGAGCACGTCGTAAACGTGTAGCCTCCTGGTTTGCTGTCGGGTCATTGAGGGAATCCGCGATGCTGACAAGCCTTTGCAGACTGTCGATATAACTCTGCATCTGTACCTGAGGAAGCTCCAAATAATCTTGCCAGCTCTTGCCAAAATAAGCGATACTCAGACCAAGTGTGTTGACGAAAGGTGTAAACTTCGGGTCCAAGTTCTGTGTCGTTCGTAGTGAGGAGGCCGCATGCGGCATCTTGCGACAGTATTCTCGATACAGTTGTTGACTCTTATCTACCCAGATATCAATCATGTATGGATTACAGAGGGCGTTAGTACTGCCAGCGAGATCACGGTCCATCGCCTGGAGCAGATACTGCTGATGAAGTGTCGCAAGTTGCTCGCCGATAAGGATAGCATCCATATGCTTCTCAAGGACTGGCCATTGCTTTATGATGTTATCGTAGAACATTCGCTTCAGTCTCATTATGCGGTCAATAAACTTCCTCTCGGCTTCGGCCAGCGACATCCAGATACTGTGCATTTCGACATTGTACAAGGGCAACGATGCCCCAGCTGCTGCAACTTCGTCCATACCACGCGTGGTGTTACCTTGAGCGTTGTAAGATGGCTTATGCATTAAGGGCAGGGGCTTTCGCGAAGGTATGCCGGTCGAATTGGGGCTTAACGGTGGAGTTTCGTACACGGTGTAAGACGATCCCGTGGACGCTTTTGATAAAATCGATGGTGCGATGGAGGAAAACATGCTATCATCAGAAGATACTGAGCGCATCTGGGGCGTTGCGACATGCTGCTCACTTGGGCGGCGAGGAGGCAACGGAGGCGCAGCTTCTGGAACTTCCGTTCCGCTGTCTCCACTAAACGATCGCAGTGGCGCCGGAGTCAATGAGCCATAAGGATCATTCGGTAGCGAAGAGGAGTTCTTAGGCCCTGTGTGGTTGGGAGTCAAGCAAAGTGTCGTGGATGAGGTTTGCGGCATAAAGGAGAGTATGTCGCGCTCAAGGGTATCGAACAAATCTGCGTGTTCATTTGTCGTTGTGGCCTGAGGGGATGGTCCTCTCTCTGTTTCCGACTTCAGTACACTGGGAGGCGTCGTCTCGAGAGCGATCGAACTGTCTTCTGGTACCCCAGTTCCTGTTTCCTCAGACGCATCGATCTCGTGGCGTGAAGTAGACATGGCCATTGCCATAGCCCTACGATACGCTTTCGAGTTGACGACCTCATCATCGAACGTGAACTCCGTAGCTTTCGCGATGGACTCTACATCGGCCTCGCTGTCGTTCAGACTCTTCTGATCAAACAACGACTCCGGTACCTTCAGTCTCGGGTGCGACTGCCGTAGAGTCCTCGACCGCTTTACAACCTGATCGAGTGTCACACTATTATCCTCAACCAGCTTCTTGATATCCGCAATTGACTCCATCTGCAATCCTTGTATCAGCAAACTGAGCGCTGACTGCTGGCCACGGATCTGGGTGAGCAGCTCTTTGAAGGTCTCTTCCTTGAACACAAACTTCGCTTTGTCTTTGAACTTCAGGTTATCGTTCTCCGCCTTCACTCTCAAGTCCCGTACCTCCTCTTCTAGGCACCCGTATACAACTCGACACCCCGTAAGCGCACGATCGAAGGTCTCGAGCAGCTGGGGCTTCTCCCGTAGCGCGTCATGTTGTAGGAGGCTTTGGACTTGGGACAATGACGCTGCAATGACCATGGACTCGGAGTATATCGCGGTAATGAGAACCGAGGCATCTTTGTACTTGAGGCGCAAGTCGTAAAGTTCTTTTGCAGACTGGATGCTCTGGGGCAGCGCGACGAGCTATGGTGGTAGTAGGTGCATTAGCTTGGTACCATAAACCTGGGAAGTTTCCCGGAGCCTGTTGACGCGCTTAGAAATGGCAGGAACATACAGCACCGATTATACCAGACATGTCCACGCGTGTCTAATGACACCAGGGTAAACAATCAACGCGCGCGAAAGAGAAGACGCAGCATTCCAAGCGATCGCAAATGGTGGGGGTCGAAAGAAGCGTGCTTCAGCTCAGAACTCAGCTTAGGCATCCATGTTCGCGCCTGCCCAGAATACGGGGGCCCTCTGTGCACAGATCCCCCGCGGCCAGGACATCAATACGTCACGGCTGCATGCCAATGTATACCTACCTAGGTAGGTATTGAACTCAGGTCATTTGTTCAGGCAAAACGCACATAATCACGCTGCCAGATATTAGAGAAAGTCGATTACTGACTTGCTGGCTCTTGCGTATCTCCCGCTGAGCTCGATCATCCCAATTGTATAATACAAGGCAGCGGAGTCAACATAACACACGGCGCCAGCGAATGCCTGTCTACCAAAGGCGCGTTGAGAAGTAACGAAAAATTACCATCCCACCATCAGAATACCCATCAATCATGCTTTCCCTTTCCCATTTCGATCAAAATCCAGGGGTATGTCCAGCTAAAAATGCCAATAGTTCATGCGAAACGGAGGCTCAGAAATGCGAGGAGAAGTCGTAGTTGGTGGCTCTGCAGGATACTACCTTGCAAATACCTTCACTATGCCGTCGCCACCTGCTGAGACGACAAGGCGACCGTCCTGACTCCAAACTACGCTGCACACACCTTCGCCACGCATGATACGATGCGCGGTGATCTCCTGTGTGCAGATGCGCTTGTCAAGGGACCAAAAACGAATGGAAGCGTCGTGGCCAGCGGAGACGGCTTCCCGGCCGTCTTTGCTGAGCGACAACGAAGAAATAGCTGCAGGGTGTGCAAGCATACTGTATGTACATTGTCCTGTTCTTGATTAGCGAGGATGTATTTCTTGATATTGCAAAACGTACCTGAGTTGGCATCGAAGAACCGGATGAGATGGTCTTCGTGCCCACTGATTACAACCCCTTCGAGACCGCCATTGGCAGATCCCGTCGGGCCGTGTATACCTTCCTCGTCAGGACCACCGCGACCCGCCTCTTGTGACGAGCCTTCAAGGTATTGGGAACTTGTCACGACTGATGTAATACCAGTCGCTGGAGTGCCGTCATATGACTCATTGCTAGCCATACCAATCAATTCCTCACCGGTCCTCGTGTCGTACACCAATATAGATGCGTCCGAGAATGAGACAACAAAGTTCTCTCCAGTGGGTGACAGCGGGCTGATACAAGTAGGTGAAGGATGCGTGTCGCGCTCGATAGTATGTATCAACGTGTGATGGAATGGTGTCGTAGTAGCAATGCTGGGCTGCGGTGAGGATGGGTGATGCGAGCCAGATGTGACGGAATGTCTTCGGCTACCACCAACACCACGTCGAGATCCCGTCTGCGGTGAGACCAGCTGAGGCGGTGCACTTACAGCCCAGATTTTGATAGTGCCGTCAGCAGACCCAGAAGCAAGTATGACGCGGTCCGGTCCTCCATACTTGCTACTATCCGCGCCAAAGAGATTAGCACAGTTGGTCGGAAGAACGCATACAGTCCAGACAGCATCTGTGTGCCCTTCCAGGGTGGCCTTGGGATCGACTCGGCCTCGTTCCCATACGCGAATCGTAGCGTCTTGACCACCAGAGAATATCCAGCCATCGCCAGAGACTCTTCCGCCCGTAGCGAAATGAGCAGAAGCGGGGCAGGCTGCCAATGATGTCACAGTGCCTTCATGTCCTCGATGTGACCAGAACGGCTGGATGTCGAGATCATTGTTCATGCTGTGCTGGTTTGCGTAACTTGCGGGGATCATCCATCTCTTGATCATGCCATCGTCTCCTGCGGTACAGATCTCGGGTTCACTAGGACTGCCGCCCCCGGTGAAAATGACGGACCGCACTACATCAAGGTGACCGCGGAGTGCGAATCGAACTTTGAAACTTTGCGGGTCGTTCTTTGCTGCTGACTGAGCTACGGCTTGCTGTGCTTTCTGGTCGTTGCTCAATCGCCTAACATGGTCTTTGCTGGCCCTCTTGACTGGTCGTGGTGGTGATTTTGCTGGGATGCTATCCGCTGATGGAAACTCCTCGGTGTCAGGCCGCCTTGGTGGGCCATCCTGAGCTGTTTCCGATGCCGGGTCGAAGATCCAGTCATCTGTATCCTTGTCTTGGTTGGCAGCCTGGCTTGCATCCGAGGCGTCATCTCCACGTATCGGTATTTGACGGCCTTCGTTGTCGAAAGCATGAGTGACCTTTTCAACCTGCTCTTCGGGCACCGAGGAGAAGTGCTGCTGGTTCTGGACCTGGCGTTGATGTCCAGCGAGAAGCTCCTGAGCCATGGCAGCGTTGGACGGAAGTGGTTGTTGCTGTGAAGGCTCTCGTGCCATCTGCGGTGCGTGGTGGATTTGGTGCTGGTTGGCCAAGCTCTGTAGTTCGGAGGGGACTGGTACGTTGGGAGGCTGGTGGGTAGGCATCGATGTGCCTGGCATGGTTGGGAGTTGCGACTGCAGCCTCTGGCGATGTTGTTGGAGGTAGATATCTTCCATCGAGGCCTCGCCATGGTTCATGTAGCCGTTGCCGTTTGCGAGCGGCTGCATGTTCTGCTGTTGTTGCGGGGCTTGCGGGGGTGGTGTAAGGAGGTACGTGATCTCTTCGACGCATTTCGTGAGGTAGAGCTTCGACTTCTCTCGTAGATTCTCGCGGTCGGCCTCTGCACGGTCGAGGAACTCCGAGTCAACGTCGAGGAAGGAGTTGTGTTTCTTGTTTTGAGCTTCACCAGGTTAGTAAGCGCCCGAAATGTAATCTAGCAGTAACGTATACGCACGCTTCGTCGAGTTCCTGCCACTCTTCTTGCCCTTGGGGTCATTCTTGTCGTCTGTTGTGGCCTCGGCGTCACCTCCTGCTGCCTCGCTCTTCTTCTTCCTCTCGTTGGTGAGGGCCTGTTCCAGCATGCGAATGTGCTTGTTCAGCTGGTCGTTGAGCTTCTTCGCACTCCGCACCTCGCCCTCCTGTTTTGCAATCTTGGCCTTCATCTCGGCGCGCTCGATGTCCCAGGCATTCCGTGCACGCTCGTGGTTGTGCCATTCCAGCTGTAGAAATCGCATCACACCTGTGAGGGGGTCAGCCTGCCAGTCTCCCCGCCAGCTCTACGGCATGTCCAGGGGAAGCGCATACCCTGCAATGTGTACTCTGTGCCGGCGGGCGCATTGCCGTCACCCCCTCCGTTGGCACCGCCGCCGTTCATGGCCGAGGGCGACTGCCAGGCCATGACAGAGGTATGTTAGAGCGTCGTCGCGGCGATCGTGGGTGCGTAGAGAGCGTCCAGTGCGGGTTGGCATGCGGCGTCGGGGGTCGGCAACAGCGCGGTCGACGTGTCGGAATCTGGCTCCAGAGCTCGGACCCTGGGGCACCGGACACAGGCAGAGACGCGGATAGTGATTGAGGCTGTAAAAAGACGGGCAGTGGGGATTATGCGCACGCGCAGTAGCTGGTCTCGTCACGGCTGCGGCAGCATCTACACATGTTGTCGCACAGGGGAGGGAGCCATGCAGACGTAGCGCTAGGGCGGGACCTTGACGCACGGGCCATCACGACTGGATGCGGGAGCAGTGAGCAACTGTCCATCACTTTGCTACTCCAACCACTTTTGCGGTGCACACTTGAAACTATCTCAAGCTTACCCGTACCGACCACAGTATCTTGGGATCGGACTCAGACCTACAGCCTTCGCGCGGAGGTGGGCTGAGATTTCATATCGCTTCCAACCTTGGAAGCCATACGTACAAGCGATGAGCTTATATTCCCATCAAACTTACCATCAGTACTGACGAGCAGCCACTGGGTAGTGATCTGGCTTATGATACCTCCACTGTAAGTAATTCCCCCGTCTTGTCTTCTCAACCGTCATCTTCTCCGTCTTCACTCTTGCTACGTCACTGTCTCCCAATCCTGTCTGCAATACCACTTGCTGCCAGTCGACCGAGCCCGTATCGCCTGACAGATCACCCTTTTCAAGTATTCGAGCGAATCGTGTACACTCTTGTCAGGTCGTTGGATGGTTATCTCAGAGCCGTAATCGATCACTGCCGCCCCTCATCGCGCCGTGCTTCCTAATCACACTTCAGGTTCTCCAACATTTTACTGACCATTATCACAGATTCAATATCTTCTGGGTAGTTCTTCAGATCTGGAATAATCCTATGTACTGTCACTTCCAGATCTTGTGGTCGAAAAGCCGCCGCTTTGCCTGAGCGCACGACCATTGACTAGGCGGCCAAGAACGGTAGTATGTTCAATTTCCATCATGTCTTACTCTTAGGTTCAAGCATCAGTCACTCAGACATCATACTCGGCAACTATTCCTCGGCACCCTCGTTGGGTGGCAACGACACAGCTACGTCTGGTGCACCCGCCCCCACCACCTTACCGTCCAGCATTCCATGAGGCATCGAAAATGCGACAAAATCATTAGATCAGAGTAACTAGTATCTCACAGTATTACCGACGATCTTCATGCATGCCGTCGCACGGTCGGGGACTGGAATGGTGCCTTACCTTGTACATGCCAAGTGGAGCCTTCCCGATTGGTACAAGAACGTAACCTTGTCACAACAGTAGAACCTCTTCCCAGCAAGACCTGACCACATTCACCCCACCTCTCGCCAAACACCACCACCTCGAATCCGCTTCGAACCCCCGGCATCACGGTCGCGCATCTTTATTGATTCCATCGACACCGACATTTAGCCCAAATAAATCACCCGAGATGGCTGGCGGTGGTAAAGGTACGCGCTGACTTTGCGTCGCGCTCCGAAGGGCCTCGAGAGCTAACAGGATGCGCAGGAAAGACAGGTGGCAAGACAGGAGGAAAGGGCGATGCGCAAGTCAAGACTCCCAAGTCGCACTCCGCCAAAGCCGGCCTTCAAGTGAGTAGCTGCCCAATACGCGTCATCACCATTGCACCCCGCGCAATGCTTCGCGTGCAGCACAAAGAAACCACGCGCTAACGTGCCATCTTCACTACAGTTCCCTTGCGGTCGCATAAAGCGCCATCTCCGAAACCTCACGCGACAGAAGACGCGCATCGGCGCCAAAGCCAGCATCTACCTGACCGCCGTTCTCGAATACTTGACCGCCGAAGTTCTCGAACTCGCAGGCAACGCTGCCAAGGACTTGAAGGTCAAGCGCATCACGCCACGCCATCTCCAGCTCGCCATCAGAGGTGACGAGGAACTCGACACACTCATCCGCGCTACCATTGCTTTCGGAGGTGTCTTGCCGCACATCAACCGCGCATTGCTACTCAAGGTGGAGCAAAAGAAGAAGGGCGGTGCCGCAAAGGCTGGCGAGGTATAGGTGGCTGGTTCTCTGGGCAGTACGCGCACGCGCCATCATCGTGGCAAGACGGACCATTTCGCAAGCCAACTATGGCCTAACAAGCGGTCAAACGTCTGTCACATGTATGGATAAGCACGCTCTTTGTTTGGCTTTACTACACATTCTGCCGTCCTCTTGACGGGGACAGCTCATCTTTCTGCTGAAGTACAGGATGTTAGGATACGGTGTTAACTCTCTTTAGTCAGGCGCGAGAGGATCGGTGTTGAGGTCATGGATTTCATTTGTCCTTTGCGGTATGTAGCAACACTCAATTGATGCCAGTGAGCGACAAGAAAAGCCCATCGCATTCTCCGATCGAACGGTACACGATGTGCATCCAAGACGCGTTGGTGCATATCGCATAGCTACGTCCTCTGGTTCAACAGAAGCGAAAGCGCAATGCTCAAACGCGCATAGCACGTGTGTATGTGTGTTGAATTGATGCTCAGACACGCGCTGTGGTGTTTGCGGATTCGGCTTGCGCGACAATCACGAGTATCTCGATTCCGAGTTTGGTCACACGAATGTATACTCCCGTCTCTCAAACCACACATGACGCGAAAGGAAGCTGTATGCTTGCAAGCCAACTACAGGGTATACCAATGTCAGCATAACATTTCTCCCATTAAAACATTCAATCTTTCTTCATCTCCAAACTATCACTATCTATCATTCACCATCCCTCCAACAACTACCCATCGTCAACATGTTTGGATCTCCCTTCAGCCGCGACTACTCTCGCCGCACCCCCATGCCCTCTGCATACGTCTACCCAAGCTATGCAGCCCCAAACCAGACTGCTTACCACCCTCAACATACATACGACGCGCCTCGCCAGCACCGCCATACGCCGCGTCAACATCCCCAACCACAGTACCGCTCCCCACCCCCTCAACATCACCGCCGTCTCCCTCGCCGCCCCTCACACTACTCCGACATCTCGCCCAGCCCCTCCGAACATGACACCCCAGACGAAATACGCCCATACTACATGATGCCATCCGGCGACCCCCACGCAAATATCCCACCCCAGTTTCGCCCAGGGAGAAACCAAGGCCAACCTCCTCCTTCCCCCTCCCCACCACCCCCCTCAACAAACACAACCTCATTATTCCGCCCTTTCCACGCCAAAGTCACGCCCAGGGCGGCGCAGAAATTGGGTAAAGACGAGATACTCATCTTACCGCCCTTGCTTACGCGTCTGCGCGTGCAGATGAGAAGTAGGGATGGGAATGAAACCCTAAGGGTGAATGTAGCAGGAGATATGCCGTTTCGCGATGTTGTTGAGCAGCTTTTGCCGGAGTCGAATTGGAGTGACGGGACTATGGTGTATGTCAAGATGAGGGGCGCGTGGCTGGAAGCCGGTTGCGTTCTTGTTAGTCAGATTATGGAGCAAGGGAGGTTTGTGTTGAATGAGAGGGGGGAGGTGGATGTTAAGATTGAGATTGGGGGTGGAGGGAGAGTACGAGATGTGTAACAACAACAGTTTGTTTCCGGTTGAAATGACCTTGGATGAAGAAAGAACAACACGCAATGATTAAGGACAACTCGAAAATATAAAAGGTAGTTGAACAAAATGCTAGTACATCCATTCGCTCCACATACTCCACCACCCCAGCCGGACCGCAGGATCCGCACTGCTTCGATCCGAAAACGCCAAACATCGTTCTAAGACTCTGAATAGTATGGGTAAGATGCTCCAAGGCATGAGAGGTACAAAAAAGTTGACCTTGAGAAAGAGAACCTCCCTAGGGACCCAAAGGCGAAGTGAAAAAAAGGGACATTCGTTCGTATACAATACAATGCGACAATGCCATGGAGAAACACAGGAACGAGAGTCATTTGCCTTCATGCCCGTTGTTGTCGTTGAAAAATTTGGCCTACGACTACTCTCCTATGACTTCAGGCTGTCCTGCATGCTGCGGCTGCTAGCGCTGAGCGGGATGTTGGTTGTAGGAAGGACGGTCTTGGGCTTGCTGTTTTGGCGGACCTTGGCAAGGGCGTAAACGAGACCACTGACGAAGCCGACGAAGATGGCGGAGCAGCTGCCGAAGGTGACGGGCGCATCGAAGAATACGAGACCGCTGAGCGCGATGGGCAGCTTGTTCAGAGCACCGACCATGGAGTAGGTTGTCGAAGAGGTGACACGGACGGCCCAGGCGGATGTGTAGGAGATGAAGACTGTGGAAAGACCGGAGATGATCATGACCATGATGACGGTGTTGCGCTGTTCGACGGGGAAGTTCTTTGCGACGTTGGCGGAGGACCAGTCTTCGACGAGGATGGAGGCGACGAGCAGGATCGGGATGGTGAGGAGGTTGTTGTAGTACATGGCTGTTCGAAATTAGCAATTGCTCCATTTGGTTTCGGTGTTGGATAAACTTACTGTCAAAGTCCTTGAAGTTGGTGAGCTTGATGCGCTTGCGCATGCACAGAACATAGGTTGCCGAGCAAAAGCAGTTGAACATCATCCAGAGGTATCCGGCGTGCAGAGTCGACATGGCCTCAGTGGTCTTCTCTGCAGCGTGACCCATGCTCGACAAAGCGTGCTGGATGTCTGCCCAGGCCGCAATGACGGAACTGAGGACCATCAGTCCGAAAGAGAAGAGCGCCATTGGTGTAACTGCACCGCCGAACCAGAGCACCTCTCCGTATGCGATCAGGATGATGGTCAAGTTCTTGAAGATGGTGTAGACGGGAATCGAAAGGTACTTGAGCGCCCAGGTACTGGTGTAGATCATGCCGATGAGGAGGACGGAGATGGGGAACCCTGACGATGTTAGCATGTTGCCGTATGGTCGATGGTAGATTGGACCTACACTTCTTTGCCTCGTCGCTGTTAAAGTCGCGGTAGTTGATGATACCAAGGGCTTTACATATCGAAATGGCTGCTACACAGACGACAGACTGCAATGCGTTAGAATGGCGGTCTGTAGCATTCTGGGACGATCATACCTGTACGCAGAGTAGGAAAAAGTTGAGGTTGAAGTCGACGCCAGAAAGGACGTATTTGTTCGTTACGGTCATCATAATAGAAGATCCACAGTATGCCAGAACCGCAGCAATTGGGTTCTCTGTGATGGCTACACCTCCCGCGCGGCTTGAGCCCGCGGATCGAGTAGGCGGCGACGCCGCGCGGAACTCCTTGCCGGAGGGCATATCGACCCTGTAGTCGTCGCTCTTCTTGTCGTCGGACATGGTGGTGGAGAGGGGGTCTATACGCTCGCGTGTGGAGAGTTGTGGTATGCGGCAGCGAGACGGGAATGTCCGGGGAGAGGACAGGTGTGTGGCGGCGGGTGTGCGACGTGGAAGGAGGGGCGGTCGAGTGAAGAAGAAAAGACAGGAGTGTGGGACCAGAAGGAAGGAGACGGGCGTCGCAAGAGAGATGCGCAGGGACGCGAAGTGGGTGGGTCTCAGCGCTGCCTCTCCCCTGGCCTGGAGTTGCTCTGCTGTTGGTAGTGGTAATTTCACACGCCGCTAGGCCGCCTTCGAATACGAGCAACTTCCTGTCAGCACCACCCTGCCGCCTTTACGAGCTGTGTTCTATTTTTCACTGCTAGCCCTCACTGCAGCGCGTAGCGTAAGCTCTAGACGGTCAGGCCAATTCACGCACGCTACCGAGCAGCGTATGTAAACGCGCGTTGTTCGTTCCGGCAGCCTATCGCCACGTGACTTTCCTTATCGAGTCCTGTACTCTTTCCCCTGATCCTTCGACAAGCCACCCCAGACAAAACCAGAAAAATGTCCGCCTTAGATCCCAAAGTCGCCTCCCTCGTTGATCGTGCTGCGCGCGACGACGACTCAGACGAAGATGCGCTTATTGCGTCTCTGGAAGACGACGAGGAATTAGATGCTTTCCGCGAGCAACGACTCCAGCAATTACATCACGAGTATGACAAGGCACGGCGGCTGAAAGAGAACGAGCATGGCAGATACACAGAAATCAAGGACGAGAAGGCGTTGATGGATATCACCACAAGCACGCAATTGTGTGTTGTTCACTTTTTCAAGCCCGACTTCAACCGGTGTCGTATCATGGACACACATCTCGAGGTAAGAACGAACACTGCTACAAAAGGCATTGTCTAACAACGATCCAGTCACTTGCATTATCTCACTACGAGGCCCGCTTCCTCAAGATCAACGTGGAGAACTGCCCTTTCCTAGTCACACGCCTAGGAGTCCAAGTTCTGCCCTGCGTCATTGCTTTCATCGATGGTATCGGAGCTGATCGCATTATTGGCTTTGAGGGACTCGGCCACACTGAGCAAAGCTTCACCACTCGCGATCTGGAGGCGCGTTTGATTCGTGCCAACGTTCTTGCGAGAAACAAGGTCAACGAAGAGGATGAGAGGCGGAGATTGCAGAACGCCAGGGCTCAGCAGCAAGAAGACGAGGATCTGGACTGGGACTGATAATCCCCGCATGTTAGCTCGGCTGAAGTGTAAGCGACGCCGAATACCTGGAAGAGGCATTGAGCTGAGATGACGGGGATGCGCGTGGAAGCACGAAGATTGTATGTATGCTTGCAAAGCTGCAATAATCTGGCAGTGCAGCAGGCGCGTCGTCAATTGCTTGGAATGCTCAACATGCAAACGAACTACTTGGAAGAGAAGGATTGTGTCCAAACGAACTGCGTATGCCCAGCTAGCACGAGAATCAAAACGCTGCGAGACATCATTCGTTCAATCAATCAGACCGATAGCGCAAGGAGCATCTGTTCGCTTTCTGGTGCGATGTGTTATTGATCTGTTGCGAAAAGGCGTGCTGTACTATGCCTCTCACAAGAGCCGTAGCAATTTTGAAAGATGAGTCTACATGTACAAACAGCACTACGAGTACGAATTCATCGCCAGCAGCTAACTCTACAGGTTCCATGCTTGTGGCGGTTGTGGTGAATGTCGCGCTCAGGCGGTTGACTAGCTTACCCCCGCTGGGTAATCCCGATGACGCCATTCGCCACGTGCTTTTGGGCATGTCAAATTATTTCCTTCATACCCAACGGCAAAGTCAACCTCCACAACACGTTGCTGTGATACCTTACTCGCGAAACCTACAGCCAAAAGATACTATATACTGCAAAATGAAGGCATACTGGTTTGACAACCTCCCTGTAAGTGTTCGATTTGCAGTCTCCACATCCACATGGCCTAACCTCCACAGGGCGACCAACGCCAACCCCATGACTCCGGCCGCTCAGTCGACCCAGACTACCTAGAAAAGCTCGGTGTCATCTACCACAGCGTACCGGAAGTCTCGGGCGTGGAACCTATTGCTACATCGCGTAACTACAAGAACCGGGATGAGATCATCGTCAGCCCAGAAAAGATGGGCGACATCTACGAAGAAAAGGTCAAGTCATTCTTCTCCGAGCACCTACACGAAGATGAGGAGATCCGTTACATCCTTGATGGCGCGGGCTACTTTGATGTCAGGAGCGAGGGCGATGACTGGGTGCGGATCTGGCTTGAGAAGGGTGATTTGATTATTCTGCCGCCGGGGATTTACCATCGGTTCACTACTGATGAGCAGAATGTGAGTGAATTAGAAAATTCGGAAAACATGGAAGTTGATAGTGCTAACATGCGTTTTCAGTACATCAAGGCTATGCGACTGTTCAAGGAGGACCCGAAGTGGACGCCGCTGAACAGGGGGAAGGAGACGGACGAGAACCAGTACCGGAAGCAGTACTTGACAGAGTACTTGAAGGCTAAGCAGGGAGTTACAGCTTAGACTTTAGCTGCTTGCGAACCTGATATTCATTCTCCAGTATTGACAACATGATATCTAGACATTCTTTTCAACCTTGTTCAACCACGCCCTGGTGAGCGCTTACTTTTCCCTCAAGTCTGTTGAGCCCCCATAGTCTCACTCTCACCTCGATTTCGTTCAGCTACGCCGTCGTGGGCCCCGGTAGTCTCTCTCACCTCGATTTCGTTCAGCTACGCCATCGTGAAGATTTAAATCGCTCTCAAGTCTATTGAACCACGCGAGTTCTCTCTGACTTCGATTTTGCCTCCATGTCTCTGTCCAATCATCGCGACAGCTTTCCGATCGATGAAAATAGCATTGTTTCACCGACTGCTGCCGATTGTTACAGCGACGCGCGACCGCCTAAAGTGAAGGTGAAACCGAGTCAGGCCCGTCAATACAACTTGACTCTACAATGGTATTGTCTCAATGCGCCGGACCCCCGCCTTGTGCACAGGTTCACTTATACGCCTCTTCACCTTCTTATTGTTGTGCGCTCCGCAGCTCGAGTCGTTCTTAGCCGCGCCATGTACACCACCTAGCTTAACCTGTACACCATCCATATTTTCAACATCGCACAAGCCAACTGTCTGGCACATCGCAAAATACATACCCGCTATAACACACATCGTCTCGCCAAGATGCCAAAAACATCTAATGGTCAGCACCTCTACATCACAGGCATGAGGAATCTTCAAGAGCTAGCGTACGAATATGAGGATGAGGATGAAAAGCCTATCGTTCGGGAGACTCGTCCCAAGACTTCATTTCAAAATATTATGGCTCAGGCTAGGACCTGTCGCGATATGGTCACGGAAGACAGGAAGAGGTCAAACACAGCAGAAGGGAAAAGATCAGAAGGATCAGATGTACGGGCGGATACTCCAAGGTCACGGATGCAGGCCAGTATACCTGGTGCGATCGGATCGAGTCGTGCTCAGAAGGCCCCACGAGAGAACGACCAGTACCACCCGGAGGACCCCCTCCTCGAGCGCCATCCATTCGCAGTCAATAATACCAACCATCTGCAATCCAAACGGGACCAATACTCTTCAGTACCATTGTGTAAACACTTGGAGTTATTTCTAGACTGGAACATGGACGACCCCGACAATCGAAAAGGCTCATGGATTCTGAACATTGAAAAATACGAGGAGCCCTCACCTTGGGCAGAGCATCAACATTGCGCTGGCGTAGATGTCACTAAGATGGCTGATGCCTTGGCGATGAGGATAATCAAGAAATTCACTCGACTAGACAATGAGCGAGTGAGCCGAGACTTCGACCGCGGAATATCGTGTCGACGACCTCCGGCGAAGCAGCGCTTGACACGCGAGCTATGCAACATGTACTCTCAGATTCACCGTGGCAAGGAGAGCAAGTTTGTCGATGAAAAAGAAGCGCTTCGCGAGAGCCTTAATGCGGCTGAGCGGCGCAGAGAGCTGGCTGAGAAATCGTTGCTGCGAGCTCAGAAGCCCCGTCAAAGCAGCGGCGCCGCAAAGCCTGTCAACAACGATGTATCGGAAGGTCGCAACAAGTCTTCTTCAGCTTCAGTCTCAGGCTCATCTCCTTCTACAAGGAAGCGTAAAACCCCGAAGCAGATTGCAGAAGAGAAGGTAGCTCGGAACCGGAAGCGCAAGGGGTTGAGCGAGATTGCTAGAATTTCCCCTGAGCCTGTCGACCGTTTCAAGCCGACCACGGTAGATGAACGAGACGCCCGATTGACTGGTGTTGCTCAGCAGGTTCGACATGGACGCGCACAGCTCGTAGTTCAGAAGCGGAAGTTGAGTGAAACGGAGGATGATACACCGTCTCATGTCTTGCCTTCTTCACGACTGATTAAGAAGGCAAAGAAGAACAGCGTTACGAAAGAAGTTGTATAGGCTAAGAAAGGAGAAGACGATAGGCTGGATGATCTGTCTGAGGAGTAAGAAAGTACAGGCTGCTGGATATCGGGGGTTTATTCGAACTTGAGGCTACAAGTAGAATGGGATAGTTCGCGACGAACCATCGTGTCGCTTTCAGGGTATCATGCCATTGTACGCCGTAGCTATCTGAGAGTCATATGAGGCAGCAGTTGACTTATCCAGACGCTTTCGTATTCATCTAGCCCGTCTATACCATTTCCTTCTTCAGGACGTGACATCAACATCTGCGTGTTTGGCTCAAGTAGAGCCTTGCTAGTGTCGCTATGTTGCCAATGACGTTTCCTCAGCGTCTTGTGTAAGAACAATGACATAATAGGTCAACGAGATCGCAGTTTGACTCGAGAAGCTTTGCATTTCGGGTGCAGAAATGACACGATAGGCTTAAACATCTCCTGGTTTCATTGATCACATCCACACACAGTGTCACCGCCCGCCTACGCCTTGTCCTATATCAAATAAGCTTAAATACACGAAGCTCGCTCTGTTGGTCCTCGATATCATCCCAGCCAAGATGCATATAGCTGCAATCATCATAGCCAAATCCCACTCTCTTGAACGTACCCTCGACCTTGAGAGTGATACCATCAACTTCCCAAGTACTCGGCCCTCCCTCATCTTCTGGGCCAGCTATTTTTTCCAGAAACAAGCCCTGGCAACGCAACATTGGATTGTCGCCGAACACTTGCGGGATGCCTACTAAAGGCGCGAAATGTGTGACGCGGGACAACACGGTTGTGTCCGTCGGGTCGTCTGGTATCATGTCGATGACTGCGGGGCCGATGGCATCAGAGGATGCATAGCGTTCGGGGATGAGGAAAGGGTTATACGAGCCCAACTCCATTTCATCTTCGTGACCTGATAACGGTGACCGGACCGGGAGGCAAAAGCCAAGGAGCGTCAACTCACACTTGCCCGCTCCAAATACCTCTGTCTCAGAGCTATCAGGCTCCTTGTGCTTCCAGTTCACGACTCGTGTGTAAGTTACGACTTCCGGATCAAAGATAAACTCATAGTACATGATATTTCCAATAGTCGTCGTCCAGGACCAAGATGGCGCCATCTTCCTCAGTGTAGCAACTGCCTCTGAGTCGCCAGGCTGCTTCCGATGGGGACGAAGCCACAACAGCCACTTTTCTAGCTGCAATTTCCAGAGCCCGAAGAGGTAATCTTCCTCCGGGAACTTGTCAGGTATGGCTTGCTGCAACGCTCCCACTACGCCTTGTATTGCGGCTAAGCGATCAGTCCATTTGGTCAGTCTTTTTTCCGAGTACCGCTTTACAATCTCGGCCCATAGTTTCGAATGGTTGAAATTGGGTTGGTCGGTCGCGCGGGAGTCTTCTACACGGAGTAGTTGACCAAGAGTACGCACGTTGAAGAAATGGTCGTCTTCGCCGATATATCGAACGGCGTTTTCATTTGCCTCCTTCCGACACTCGCATCTCTCGTGCTGGCTACACTGCCAGGCTAGTTCAGATGGTGTAGCATATAGTATTCTGCGCGCTAGGAAGCTCTCTTGAAACACCCATGCGCGGGTAGCGAGGGGCGTGAGAAGTTCGTCGATGTCGACATCTTCTATATTGGGGCGCGACGAATGATGTGCTGGGTTGCTCCAGTATTGTTCCTCTCGCTCGCGAATGGAGAGTTGAACTGTACGAGACGTGCCGTCTGGCATGTGAAAGGGTACCTCAATACGTTTGAGGGGTGCATTCGCGGCAGGGCTGAGGGACAGAAATCCTTCCTGGACGCTGGATGCACTCTGTGCTGAGATGACCAGCTCGGCTCCTGGGTAGATGGACTTCATGCGTGGAATTTGGTCCGTCCAGTCTTGTATATCATCTTGTACTATGCATAGCGCATCAATCTGTTGTATGAGGTCAGCTTCTGGGATAGATACAGTTCATGCATTGGTTGCTTTACCCATAGGTATCGCAAGCCAAAAGCCTTGCACACGTGGATGGCATCGGCGAGGGTGCGAGGGAGTGTCGAAATATCGATGCCTTGCATATGGGTCTCGAGATTACTTTTCAGCGTCTTGAGGGAGCCGGTCGTGCCCCATGCGTAACTGAGACAAGCATAACCTTCCTGCTGTTGTGCTGAGGCTGATGCAATCGATGCGCTATCCACAAGGCGGATAGGATCAGTTGCGAGATCGAGGACACGACGTGGCCATTCACCCTTGTCTGGTGCACACAGCGAATGATCAGCCTTGCATTGCTCGAACCAGCTGCGCGCTTGACTCAAACGATCTTCGAGATTGCTTAATAGCTCTCGGTACTTGTCGTTTTCACTATTGCGTATACCGAGCCATGGAATAGCAGAGTCTTCTCCAGCATCTGTTAGGCTGTTAGCCTCATTTTCAAACACTCCCTCATTCCTCATTCCTTTAAAGGTGACTTAGGCTGATAGAAAGAAGCTTGACTAGCTGTAAAGAACTTACCAACCGGAGTGTAGATCTGGTAATCATTCGGCCTGTTATCAACATACTTCCGGCCAAACAGCACCCCACCGCCATATGATTCACCCTCCTGCTTGCAGGCCACATTTAAGACATTCTGGGGGTCAAAAAGGTGCCAATGGTCAACCGCCTCTTTGCGCCTAATATCGATAGTCGTGAATTCCGGCCGTCGAATATCGGTGACGGCATCAAGAGCCTGCAAGATGATTGAACATCCCTGACATTCGCCAGCAGAAACAAGGAAGTCTGCCGTTGGCGTGCTGGTTTCCACGCCGTTGGCGAAATGGTGGCATATGATGCATGATGGGGTTTCCTGGTCTCCTCCGTTTGTGGGAGGCTGTTTTGTGTCGTTTGTGTCGGATTCGACGCGGTATCGCTCATCAGGAGAAGCTTGGAGATGATCCGAGATCACACCCGCACGCGCCGGCGATGATGCAGCCCGAGATTCCTCTACCCCTCGGGCAAAAGCTTCTACCATGTGCTCTATGAGCTCAGACCAGTCTGACGTCATCGTCACTTGCCCAAGATGCTAACGAATCGAGTCGCCTGCGATAGCACCTGATCGTTGCAGTAGTACCGACCTATTTTACAGAAATCGGGAAAGATAGAACTCTTGTATGTTTTAAGGCACGTCGCTTTCGTAAACGCATGCCTCAGCTGACTTGGCAATCCTTCCAAGGTCCTAAAGCATGCTTCAGCCGCACAGAATTAGGCAGGTTCGAACAGCGAAGGGCCGAAACCTCAACATACTTACCGCAAAGATCAGCCGATTCTAGGCTTCCGTATGGAGAACACAAAGTCCCAGGGCTTGCATCCATATGCATCCGCTTCAAGATTCACAGACAATGCAGGCGATTCACAAAGACAAATCCAAACTTATGAACATCGCATACGTAAATTGCACACCAAGACATATCCAAAAAGTTCATGATTTATAGGGATTTCATCTAAAGCCATCCAAACCCAACAATACACCCGCCCAAAACCCTCAAATGGTATATCCAAAACGCCAATCCCTATCCCCTTCAATCCCCTTCAATCCCCTAGCAACCTCCACCACCACCACCGCCTCCATCACCTCCTCCACTTCCACCACCGCCGCCATCTCCACCGCTGCAACCTCCACCATCTCCTCCACTAAAGAAGCCACCTCCGCCTCCGTATCCTGCTGTGTATGCGTATGCGCCTCCCGTGTCGCTACCACCGCCGTAATGCCGCTTGTTGCGCTTCGAGACCTTTGTTTGCCGCATCGGGGGCGGGTATTCGGAGGGTGATTTGGACATTCCGCAGCCCATTTTGGTGAGTGTTGGTTTGTGTTGGTTTGTGTTGTCGGTGGGAAGGTTTGTAGATTGCGGGATGTGAATATGTGATCGTATGACTTTGTCAAGCGTGGCCTTGGGTGGTGTTGATATCCAAAGGTATGTGTGTTCGAAGCTAAGTGAAGTACGAAGATGCGTGTGGGTTCTCTGTTAGAGAAGATAGCGTGGATATGTCGAAAGTTTGTTCGTGATGATGATATGCCCTTATCCTCCCACGGAACCCTCGACCCTATATACCACCCACAGTACCCATCATGCTCACCTTACCACACTACCAGCCACAGAATCTGCCTTACCCGTACACAGCACTGTCATCAGGCCCCCCATACACAGCAACAACAGCACCCACTACCGTCACAACACCTACCCTCATTCCGTTCTAACCAAGCGAGACATCCAGTCGCATCCTTAAGCGCACAACACTAATCCCACAAACGTGACCGCCCCAGCCCCAACCCATCAGCAACCAGGCGTCCAGCGTCCGACCACTACCCAATCTAGTTCGTCGTGTTCGTTTACTCGGATAAGGCATCCCCCACCTTTGGATCAACAAAACGACCAACACGCATTAGGAAGTAATCGAGCGCATACATACTGCGCACAGGATCTCGCAATGCCACAAATTGTGCACATCATTTACCACATGAGCTTCGCAGGGCTGAGTCTACAGTAGTAGTAGGTGGAGGGAAGGACGCTAGAAGCGAGGCTGTGCCCCGTTCTGCCGATCACGTGGAACGTCAAGCCCACACGTGGACGCTTGTCTAGCTGGAATACACGGAGAAGATGGCCTGCAGCATACATCACTATCAGCACGAAAGCTTGCAATATCTTAACACAACCTTAGAGCTTAGGCTTCTGGTGCTTCGACTTCCATCCTCCTGTCCCGGTCGCTGTTCAAATCTTCCCTAGAACGCGGTGATCCAACGACCCAAAGCCTACGTCGGCCCGAAACCAGCAGTTCGGTGTCCTTTATCGGGTTTAGACCAATCTCTGATGGAAGCAGCGAAGAACATTACTATGGAGTTAGCATGCGCATCTGGCAACCTGTCAGGCAGAGTCAAGATAGCGAGCTGTGGCTGTGTATCATTGCCGATCGATCGCTTGGTGCGAGGAATGAATTTGGTAAACTTGTGATGCAGCACGTACGTATACTGTGGGGTCCAATGAAGGGGGACCTGCGT